TTATTCTAAATTCTATTCTATTCTCTATTTATTCTATTCTATTTTATTCTATTCTAATCTCTATTCTATTCTCTATTCTATTCTATTTTATTCTAAATTCTATTCTATTCTCTATTTATTCTATTCTATTTTATTCTATTCTAAACTCTATTCTATTCTCTATTCTATTCTATTTTATTCTAAATTCTATTCTATTCTCTATTTATTCTATTCTATTTTATTCTATTCTAAACTCTATTCTATTCTCTATTCTATTCTATTCTATTCTATTCCTATTCTATTCTATTTTATTCTCTTTTCTTTTCTATTCTCCTATTCTATTCTATTCCTATTTAATTCCATTCCTCTTCTCTTCTCTTCCCTTCCCTTCTCTTTTTTCTTCTTCTATCTCTCCTCTATTCCATTCCATTATCTATTATCTTCTATTCTATTCTAGTATTGTATTCTATTCTACATTGTATTCCACTTATATTGATATTGTTTCCTGACTGCCTATTTGTACCCTGTGACTTTCCTTAAGTGTTGTACCTTATGATTCTTGACGAATGTATCTTGTCTTTTTTACGTACACTGAGAGCATAATGCACCAAGGACAAATTCCTTGTGTGTCCTTGGCCAGTAAAGAATTCATAAACCAGGTTGAAGCTACCTGGTTTGAAGCTACCTGGCCTTCCTTGCGAAGCGCGCAACTTTCGCAAAGTTTTTCTTTTTTCTTTTTTTCTCTTCTCTCTCGTCGGGCTTGGGGGTGGGTGGGTGAGTGGGTGGGGAAATATCTCCCAGTGGCTTGGGCCAATCAGGAGCCGTCGACGCCAGTGGGAGGGGAAGGGGCGTGGGCACACCCCTCCCAAAAGGGGGGGAGGGGGAAAAAAAGCCCCGTTTGCACGTGACGCGTTCAAAACCTTTCTCCTTTGTCTGAACTGCGCTTCGCTGCGCCCTGAAAGCAGCTGAAGTTCCCCCAAGGCTTGGAAGGGGCTTGGGTGGGTGGGGAACGACCTCTCTCCCCCCCCCAGATCTGCACCCCCTCTCCTCGACCCCTCCCTCTCTTTGGGTTTTAACCCACCCACCCCTCTTCTGCCTCTCCCCCACCTGCTTGCTCCTTAGCTCCAAGGCACCTGGGGGCAGGTGCATGCCAGCCACCTCTCTCCCTCTCCAAAGGCGCACGGTTCGGGGGGCTCGGGCGCCTCGTCCGGGAGGGTCTCCATGGCCAGCCGCCGGGCCGTGCCCACCCCTTCGCTGTGGTCGGGCCACGAGCGGCTTCGCATCGGGGAGCGTCTCCAAGCCAGCCTGGCTGGGCTGTGGGAACTGGATCTCTTGCGCGAGATGCAGAAAGCCAACGTGGAGAGTGCCTTGACTGGGTCGGAGCCCCGATCGGTGAGATGGGGGATGTGTTTTGGGGGGCGTGGGTGGGTGGGTGGGCTGCGTGGCCAGCCCTAATTTCTCCTCCCGGGGAAATTACACGCGTGTAAATCCTTGCCGGCAATCTCTGCATTTCTTAGGTGAGCAAAAAAATAATAATCTTGGCTTAAAATATAAATCTTCCATCGTGTGCCAAGCCAGATAATAATAATAATTTTTAAAAAACAACAACAGGTAAGCAGGTGAGCCAACTGGTGGGATCCAGTGGCTTTGCAGCCACTTTGAGATCTGGATTTCTCTGTTTGCTTCTGGTTCTCTCTGGAAACCTGGTGGATTTCCTCTTCACCATCCCTGGAGCCCTGAGCAATCCTGCCAAAGATTTCACCTGTGCAATAAGAGATTCTAGTTTTTTCCCCCCTTCCTTTTTTATTTTAAAATTTCCAAGCTTCTCTGAATGTTTTGGCCTCGTGTTTGGGGGGGGATCCACCCTTAAAGGATCTCTTTTGAGGAGGGCTCAGGAGAAGTTGTTGAGGCTTTAGAGCAAATGGGTCTGGTGGAAATCTGGGGGGGGGGTGTATCCTTTAAGGGGGGGCGACTGTTGTGCTGTAAAAGCCTTCCACTACAACTCCCATCATTCCCGCAGCTGGGCTTAGCCGCTTTTGTTGTTTAAAGAGCAGGCTGGAATTTGGGGAGGGGGGTTTCCCCTTCTGCCATGTGGTCAGTATCCATGTTTGGGATTTGTAGTTTTGAATGGAGGAAGGAAAAAAATGGAGAGAGGAGGGGGTGCTGTATCTTTTCCTCTTTTGATCCGGAATGCGATTTAAAATATTTCCTGGACTTGTTCGTTTTTTAAATTTCAAAACGCCGAAGCTTAAAGGAAGCTCGGGCAGGAAAAATTTGGCCTTCCCTTCTTCCCTAAACCATATCTCTTTTTTTGGGGTGGGTGGGGGGGAAAATGAATTATATTTCTGTGTAGAAGGTGG